AGGGGCATTTGACCATCTCGCTTTTCCCACCTTACAGTAGCATCATGACCAATTCATTGGAAAATACGATAGGTTTCTTATTCGCCATTTCAAAATCCCCCGTAATGAACCTTGTTTGCCCCCTAAAATTTTGCATAAGCATTGTCTTCAGTTTTTCTTGGGACCACTGTAATACCCAGGAGAAATGGGAAACAAAGGTTATGAAGAATTTTGGGGGGCAAACAAGGCGTATTATGGAGGATGTGGAAATGGCGAATTGAATAAGTCTAGATATAGGACCTGACAAATGAGATTAAACTCTACAGATGGGGGCGCGTTCTGTCTGTTCTATTGCTCTCCGAAGCTTTTATCTGCCGAAACAGATTCCGGCCTCCTCAACCGGAAAGTTGACCTTTGTTTTAGAAAAGTGCTTTTCCAGCCGAAAAGCCTATTTTCACACTTCATTGCGTTCTTTAGCTTTTTAAGACTTTTTTGCCCGTAACTTAAAAAATCACTCAGGTCGGCAGCTACTACCTGGGGTGACAAACGCTGATTCGTGGATCGCTAATGGTTATTGTGTAAGGCTAAACCACAAGATATCTTTTCAAGTTCTTTAATAAATTCATAATTAAACAATAGATTGGCAAATGGCTGGGAATAAAGCTCCTCAATATCAAGTAAATCCCTTGGAACTTTTTGTGTTGTTTTATTTTTATGAATCTCCTTTTTTCACACCTACCTCCACGTTGTCTTTTTACCGATAAAACAAGAAAAGAGCATGACATATTGTCTCTCTTGTGATATATTGTTGCCATGGCCTTTTTCCTTCGTTTGGAAAAGAGAACAAAGCACAATATCTAAATGAAAGAGTATTTTATTCTCTTTTCAGTGGACAATAGATTTTCCATATCCCCAAAGGGGACTGGAGCCGGATTACCCGACCTCCTTTGCAATACTCAATAAATAACAACACCAGAAGAAATATCTCATATCACTTCATGCCAGGTCTTGTTGTGGGGTTAAAAAAAGGCCTTGAACGCAGATATTGAAGTGTGAGAAACACCCTTCTTGAAACTGCAGTGTGGAAATAAGCTCTTCGCCAAGGGTAAACAATCATTTTTGCGGTAAATTCATCGTTTATTCAATGCCGAATGTTTGACGGACCCTGGCATTGGGCGATCGATCTTGTGAGGAAAGCTAACATGTCTCTTTCATGCGACCAGTCTTTCAGATCGACTCTTCGAAGGGTTAGTGAGAACACGGTGGAAGCCTTTCTCCGCAAGCGATGAACAGCTGAATTTCCCGTGAAGCTAACATGGAGCAAATAGAAGAGCCACAATGGTACGATCTTAAAATGTGATACTGTATTTGATGTGGGTGAATTGAAATTCTGTGACCTTCAAACAATACAACAATAAATTCCTCCAACGCTGTTCACACGTGTGTCTGGTTCCATCGTAAATTTTGTTTCTTTTCCAGGATCTACTCGTTTGCTGACAGTTCCAGATTGCTGACCATTGTTATTTCAATTTTCCTGATCGTGTACGGCAGCTTCAGGTGTGTTTTTCTTTCGATTTCCTTTGATGAACGTGCATGAGCTTTCTGATGTGCGTGACCTGTTTTTGTCTCCAAAAGACACGCTCTAGGTTGTTTTACAGAATGTGACCAGCTAAATGAAACCGGATCTAAAATGTGTTAGAGATTGCATTCTAAGTTAAAACTATCATTGTTCCCCGAAAGGAGAACTGATTTTCTGTTTTCAATATTTTATTGAATCATAATTGACATTCGATTCCATCGTCGTTGGCAATTTCAATATTTTTCTGCGATTAGTCCTATAGAGCCTTTTGCTTTTTGATTTATTTTCATGCAACGAAATATGAGTTACATAATAAACCTGAATTTTCGATATTATCAGTTTTCATCTACAATCGCCAATGTCAGTTTCGTGCAGTATTGTCTTTAATTTTAACATTAGCATCTAATATACATGTAAAATACAGCATAACTGATTGAACGAAAAAATTCCCCTTTAAGCCTGATGAATTTTTTATGACTTGTGAGCAAGGTAAGTTGTAAGCTCCTCCTGACATGGATCTCCATCTATCCAAGTACAAGTTTCTTTTTGTACTAGTAACATAACAGAATATTAAATATTGTCCAACACTTATCTCAGGTGGCAAACAATTATGTCCTCACACCAGCTCAGGATGTTTCTTTGTAAATTATTTCTTTATGAGGGGTGTTCAAATAATGGAATCTCAGTAGTTTTCTTTATATTCAATATTCGTTGAGCACAAGTCATTGCAGCAAAGCGATATTCACAAATCAGTTTCTCTGCTGACGGTGTAGGTCCCCTCACAACATCTGTGAGGGATGTTATCAGAAGGTGTTACAGCAATGCAATAAGAGCTGTAACACATGGTAAAGAAGTCCTGCTGTCCATATGTCCAGCTCCTTGTTATGTGTGAGTGTTGTCTTCTGTCAGAAATACAATGGTTCACCTTGAGGAATTTATAATTTGAATGAAACCTGGATGTAAATTCATTTGATGTTTTTTTTTTGAAGTCAGATGTTTGATTTAAGTTTCTTACTACTGTTTTTTTTTGGGACTCAGTTGCACATGGTAGGATTGTCTACCAGACATCAAGGGTTAGGTTTTAGTAACGTGGGCGAAAATAATGCAATTGCTGTACATGTAAGCCTAAGAAGAAACAAAAGCAGTAGCTCCAGTACTTAAGTCGCGTTAAACAACTTTGGTTTACGTATCGATAATTTCAAACTGCTTTTGAACATGTATGTAAGCCTAGCTAGGACCTTTAAAATATGACAAAAAAGGGTAATAAACAACCAATAAAAGAGTTCTATTTTACTCTAACTTGCTTTCTAGCATGCAATTTGTGGCATCAGATGAGCATGTACAATAAGTGGCACTTAGTTCAATTCTTGCACAAGGTTGTGAAAGCCTTCTTTGATCCAAAATTGCTCGAAAACCTACAATACATCTATGAGGAAATTTTCACAATTTTTTTGAGGGGGTGAATTGCATTATAGCCAAAGTGTTTGAAACAAGATTTTGAGCTATTTTTGAAAATTATAAGCAAAATTTCACATAATTTTGGTTTGCAAACAATCTGTTGTACAGAATGTTATTTTACTTTGCAGTAATGCTTAATCAGAGCCAGTTTATAATTCCTCAAATTGAGAGGTGGGGTCATCATGTGAAGCTTTTGAGAAAAACATCATTAATTAAAACCTACTAGTGCCCGGTCCTCAGGCACACAATCCTTCATTTTGGCCATTTATTGACAACAGTAATTTGACAAAGCAAAAACATCTTCAGTTGGTACATTTTTCAAAAGGGTTNTTTTTTTTTGAAGTCAGATGTTTGATTTAAGTTTCTTACTACTGTTTTTTTTTGGGACTCAGTTGCACATGGTAGAATTGTCTACCAGACATCAAGGGTTAGGTTTTAGTAACGTGGGCGAAAATAATGCAATTGCTGTTCATGTAAGCCTAAGAAGAAACAAAAACAGTAGCTCCAGTACTTAAAGGTCGTGTTAAACAACTTTGGTTTACGTAGCGATAGTTTCAAACTGCTTTTGAACATGTATGTAAGCCTAGCTATGACCTTTAAAATATGACAAAAAAAGGCAATAAACAACCAGTAAAAGAGTTCTATTTTACTCTAACTTGTTTTCTAGCTTGCAATTCGTGGCATCACATGAGCATGTACAGTAAGTGGCATTTAGTTCAATTCTTGCACAAGGTTGTGAAAGCCTTCTTTGATCCAAAATTGCTCGAAAACCTACCCGGTATAACCCATGATGAAATTTTCACTGTTGATATGTAGGGGTGAATCATGTATAGAACCAAAATTTTAAAAAAAGTCTGTAAGACAGATTTGGACTGAGCTATTTTTGAAATAGGCAAAATTTCACATTGTTTCAGTTTGCGAAAAATCTGTCTAACAGATTTTTATTTTAGTTTTCACGATTGTTTATAATCATAGCCAATTTCTTATTTCTACAATTTTGAGGTGGGTTCGTTATTAAACCAACTTGTGCCCAGTCTCTCCTTAGGCATTCGGTCGTTCATTTTGGCCATTTATTTAGGTTTAAATTGTTCAAATTTCACATAAAATGGAAAATAGCTTAAGCAAATGGTAAATATAGAGAGGAAAAACATCTTGGAACATTTTTCAAAAGAATGTGCTCTAATACTCCATCAAAACTGTAGTAAGCCACCTTAAGGGTTATAGGCAAGTTAAAGTGATTCCTCAGTATTGCTTTTTACGTAAGTCACCGTGAGTTTGAAGGCAGATAAGTACCTAAGCTTTCTCTTTCCGCGAACCGAGAACGTTCTATACCGGAAGTCAAAAGAAAGAAAACTAAATTTCCTGACGATGCCCAGTTCCCTCTTAATGATTCCCTGCCAGGACATCTCATGGCATGAACTGGGCATTTCTCTAGCTATAAAATTCGGAATACGAAGAAAAATTAATAAATCCCCAATAATGATTCCTGAAAACTGAAGGTAAGCCCTCGTAAATGATAGAATAAGCAGGAGTAGTCAATTGCTCAGTTTTATTTTTAGAAATGGATCAAAATTCACACCAACATTGCATGAATCCCAAGATTTAAACCCGTGGTCTTATAACACCACCGCCCTTTATTTTTCCAATCCTGTTTCCAAGGGAAACCAGATCGTTGAGTCGAAGGCTTGAATTTTTTACATGAACACGCTCTTGATGGTGCAGGCTATATATATATATCGTGAAGTTTAAGTGATAAACTGAATATTCCTCCTCTGACTTTATAGTGTTCTCATCCCTGAAAAGCAAAGAGAGAGAGAGAAAAATACGTAGTGAACATTTATTCTTTAAAAAAGGTGAACTATCATGAATTGCGCATGTGCGAACTTTCGATCCACAGTTTGAGAACGTCCCCCGACGATTCAATCTCATATGCCAAATTTAAAATGGCGTCGACAAGCAGAGACTACTCAGTAAATGTACCACCAAATCATAATTTTCTTAAGAATCTACATTCACTTAGTTTTCTACTGACGTACTGAACGTAGAATTTTGAGCAGATATGCTGCAAAAAGCAGGTTACTTATAACATAATATTTGAAGATGCATAGAAAGAGTTGCAATTTGATGGTAATTTTGTTGAAAAACTATACATGATGTTTTAGCTATTTAACTTATCATGGCCTCTCAATTTTAAAGTACTGCGGAACTTGCATTCACATGCTTTCAAATGGCGTATTTATCTTAAAAATCTTTGGAGATGTAATGGAGAAAAAAATTATTTACCCGAGTCGGTTAGCCCTATGAGCATTTGTGAAGTTGAAAGATAAATGGTTCGTGTTGCAATTCGACGGAAACCAGATTCAAATATACGGCATAACTATGATGATGATGATGATGATGATTTTTTGGCTGTTTCACATACCGCTGCCTCTATATCATTACATACTGCGGAATCTACATTCGCCTAGCTTTCAAATGCTGTATTTCACTTAGAAATCAGTGGTGACTTAGTAGAGAAAAAAAAAGTGTTTATCTCAGTCGGTTAGCACAATAAAGGTGAAAGATAAATGGATCGTGTTGCAATTCGAAGGAAAGTAGAGTGAAACACGGCATGATTTTTTAGCTGTTTAATGACATACATGAAAAAATGACTCCATTCTGATTGGCTGAGAGCAGTGCAGTTCAAGTGTAACACCAGTACAAAAAGTGTAATACCAGTGCAAATTGCACATCGTAATTCTGGATTATTATTGGCTGAAAGGCAATAGGAAATTTTCTAAGTCAATAATATCACGTGAAATGATGACGAAAATTTTGTGCGGAAACTTTGAAAAAAGTTTTCTCGAATGCGAAAAAATATCTTCCAGAAAGATCTTCCGGCACTTTCTCCACGCAAATTTTTTCATGTTTATATTATTGATAAGTAATCGTATGGTTTTTCTCGTTCAATTTGGAACTAATTTGCACTTGTGAGTTTTTCAAAAAGCTGAAATTGCACACGTCGAATCGGCTCGTGCAATTTCAGCTTTTTGAAAAACTTACAACTGCAAATTAATTCCAAATTGAACGAGAAACCGTATGATTACCTATACTAACGTATCGTGGCCTCTAAATTATTAGGTGCCGTGGAATCTACATTCACCTTGCTTTTAAACGGCGCATTTAACGTAGAAATCTTTGGAGATGTAATGGAGAAAAATTATTTATACGAGACAAGTAGCACTGGTGAATTTAGGAACTTTTCATGATCACGCTGCGATCCGATCGACGGGCAAAACTCAAACAGACCTCAAGATAACTTAGTTTTGACATGGGCTTTCCCTTAGCTACAAAATAACACATTACTTTAGCCAATATGAAAAAGACGTTTTACACATGCGCAGCTCATGATACTGTTCCTTTAATCATCGTCTGACGCAAATTAAGTGACTTTCTACGACCGCAAAATAATTCTAAAACCTAACTTGCAGCCGGAAATAATGGCGTCTGTTGATACCAACAGCGTCTTGTTATCTTGGCATACTTGATGAATCGAAAAGGCCGTGGCAAAAGATGATCTGTAGTCTATTTTGTGCTACCATCGCGGACAAAATTAAACTTTTGAGACAACTGAGTCAAATGTGCACTTATGAGACATTCGCACTCTTATTACTGCTTTTCCTCGCCCCCTCCCTCTTTCAATGTTGCTTTGTGCGTAAATGGTTCGTCGCAAAAGATATTTTCCAAAAAAACAAACGGTAACGTTGAGAAGGGAGGGTGAGAGGGGGCATTTCTGGGCTGGGGGTGTCGTTTTCGCATCGCAGTTTGAGGAGAGCAGCTTTGATATGTCTTTGTCTCNAGGGGCATTTGACCATCTCGCTTTTCCCACCTTACAGTAGCATCATGACCAATTCATTGGAAAATACGATAGGTTTCTTATTCGCCATTTCAAAATCCCCCGTAATGAACCTTGTTTGCCCCCTAAAATTTTGCATAAGCATTGTCTTCAGTTTTTCTTGGGACCACTGTAATACCCAGGAGAAATGGGAAACAAAGGTTATGAAGAATTTTGGGGGGCAAACAAGGCGTATTATGGAGGATGTGGAAATGGCGAATTGAATAAGTCTAGATATAGGACCTGACAAATGAGATTAAACTCTACAGATGGGGGCGCGTTCTGTCTGTTCTATTGCTCTCCGAAGCTTTTATCTGCCGAAACAGATTCCGGCCTCCTCAACCGGAAAGTTGACCTTTGTTTTAGAAAAGTGCTTTTCCAGCCGAAAAGCCTATTTTCACACTTCATTGCGTTCTTTAGCTTTTTAAGACTTTTTTGCCCGTAACTTAAAAAATCACTCAGGTCGGCAGCTACTACCTGGGGTGACAAACGCTGATTCGTGGATCGCTAATGGTTATTGTGTAAGGCTAAACCACAAGATATCTTTTCAAGTTCTTTAATAAATTCATAATTAAACAATAGATTGGCAAATGGCTGGGAATAAAGCTCCTCAATATCAAGTAAATCCCTTGGAACTTTTTGTGTTGTTTTATTTTTATGAATCTCCTTTTTTCACACCTACCTCCACGTTGTCTTTTTACCGATAAAACAAGAAAAGAGCATGACATATTGTCTCTCTTGTGATATATTGTTGCCATGGCCTTTTTCCTTCGTTTGGAAAAGAGAACAAAGCACAATATCTAAATGAAAGAGTATTTTATTCTCTTTTCAGTGGACAATAGATTTTCCATATCCCCAAAGGGGACTGGAGCCGGATTACCCGACCTCCTTTGCAATACTCAATAAATAACAACACCAGAAGAAATATCTCATATCACTTCATGCCAGGTCTTGTTGTGGGGTTAAAAAAAGGCCTTGAACGCAGATATTGAAGTGTGAGAAACACCCTTCTTGAAACTGCAGTGTGGAAATAAGCTCTTCGCCAAGGGTAAACAATCATTTTTGCGGTAAATTCATCGTTTATTCAATGCCGAATGTTTGACGGACCCTGGCATTGGGCGATCGATCTTGTGAGGAAAGCTAACATGTCTCTTTCATGCGACCAGTCTTTCAGATCGACTCTTCGAAGGGTTAGTGAGAACACGGTGGAAGCCTTTCTCCGCAAGCGATGAACAGCTGAATTTCCCGTGAAGCTAACATGGAGCAAATAGAAGAGCCACAATGGTACGATCTTAAAATGTGATACTGTATTTGATGTGGGTGAATTGAAATTCTGTGACCTTCAAACAATACAACAATAAATTCCTCCAACGCTGTTCACACGTGTGTCTGGTTCCATCGTAAATTTTGTTTCTTTTCCAGGATCTACTCGTTTGCTGACAGTTCCAGATTGCTGACCATTGTTATTTCAATTTTCCTGATCGTGTACGGCAGCTTCAGGTGTGTTTTTCTTTCGATTTCCTTTGATGAACGTGCATGAGCTTTCTGATGTGCGTGACCTGTTTTTGTCTCCAAAAGACACGCTCTAGGTTGTTTTACAGAATGTGACCAGCTAAATGAAACCGGATCTAAAATGTGTTAGAGATTGCATTCTAAGTTAAAACTATCATTGTTCCCCGAAAGGAGAACTGATTTTCTGTTTTCAATATTTTATTGAATCATAATTGACATTCGATTCCATCGTCGTTGGCAATTTCAATATTTTTCTGCGATTAGTCCTATAGAGCCTTTTGCTTTTTGATTTATTTTCATGCAACGAAATATGAGTTACATAATAAACCTGAATTTTCGATATTATCAGTTTTCATCTACAATCGCCAATGTCAGTTTCGTGCAGTATTGTCTTTAATTTTAACATTAGCATCTAATATACATGTAAAATACAGCATAACTGATTGAACGAAAAAATTCCCCTTTAAGCCTGATGAATTTTTTATGACTTGTGAGCAAGGTAAGTTGTAAGCTCCTCCTGACATGGATCTCCATCTATCCAAGTACAAGTTTCTTTTTGTACTAGTAACATAACAGAATATTAAATATTGTCCAACACTTATCTCAGGTGGCAAACAATTATGTCCTCACACCAGCTCAGGATGTTTCTTTGTAAATTATTTCTTTATGAGGGGTGTTCAAATAATGGAATCTCAGTAGTTTTCTTTATATTCAATATTCGTTGAGCACAAGTCATTGCAGCAAAGCGATATTCACAAATCAGTTTCTCTGCTGAAGGTGTAGGTCCCCTCACAACATCTGTGAGGGATGTTATCAGAAGGTGTTACAGCAATGCAATAAGAGCTGTAACACATGGTAAAGAAGTCCTGCTGTCCATATGTCCAGCTCCTTGTTATGTGTGAGTGTTGTCTTCTGTCAGAAATACAATGGTTCACCTTGAGGAATTTATAATTTGAATGAAACCTGGATGTAAATTCATTTGATGTTTTTTTTTTGAAGTCAGATGTTTGATTTAAGTTTCTTACTACTGTTTTTTTTTGGGACTCAGTTGCACATGGTAGGATTGTCTACCAGACATCAAGGGTTAGGTTTTAGTAACGTGGGCGAAAATAATGCAATTGCTGTACATGTAAGCCTAAGAAGAAACAAAAGCAGTAGCTCCAGTACTTAAGTCGCGTTAAACAACTTTGGTTTACGTATCGATAATTTCAAACTGCTTTTGAACATGTATGTAAGCCTAGCTAGGACCTTTAAAATATGACAAAAAAGGGTAATAAACAACCAATAAAAGAGTTCTATTTTACTCTAACTTGCTTTCTAGCATGCAATTTGTGGCATCAGATGAGCATGTACAATAAGTGGCACTTAGTTCAATTCTTGCACAAGGTTGTGAAAGCCTTCTTTGATCCAAAATTGCTCGAAAACCTACAATACATCTATGAGGAAATTTTCACAATTTTTTTGAGGGGGTGAATTGCATTATAGCCAAAGTGTTTGAAACAAGATTTTGAGCTATTTTTGAAAATTATAAGCAAAATTTCACATAATTTTGGTTTGCAAACAATCTGTTGTACAGAATGTTATTTTACTTTGCAGTAATGCTTAATCAGAGCCAGTTTATAATTCCTCAAATTGAGAGGTGGGGTCATCATGTGAAGCTTTTGAGAAAAACATCATTAATTAAAACCTACTAGTGCCCGGTCCTCAGGCACACAATCCTTCATTTTGGCCATTTATTGACAACAGTAATTTGACAAAGCAAAAACATCTTCAGTTGGTACATTTTTCAAAAGGGTTTTAAGGTATGCTCAGATTATACTCCATTAAAACTGTAGTAAGCCGTCTTAAATTAAACCTACAATCGTGGTCAAATTTGTTGGCGGTTGTGGAGAGAGAATAATGTTTTTCAGTCACGCATAACATAATCGCTCTCCTACACCCCCTTCCTCCCATTCAGTGTTGATCTCTGTGGGCTTTACTGGTGGCATTTCAATTGCACTGGTCCATGGCAACATTGTGTGAGGGAAGGGAGGGCTCAAAACCTAACTTAAAAGAAAATTATTGAATATTTTGTAACACCTAGTGATAAGAAATTGGCTTTTTTTCACAACACCTTCTTTTGACTGGGATTGTATTTCTAATAAGATTTCATTGACAGTGATTCAAATTTGTCAAATGGGCAAAACAGTATACATTAAAATAATTTATATTGTGTTTTTTGTTACTTCAGGGCCTTAGGATTGGATGCAACATTTAGTGGGTCAGAAGATCCAGATGAAGAGCAGACAAACCAAAATGATTCGCCTTTTGCGAGACTAATGGATGGTAACTAAAAATTTGATTTATCATGAGATACTTACAGAATTGTATATTTTAATGTTGGTTAATACTTTTTTCTTATGCCGCATATTAATCCCACAATTGAATCTTAACTTACCTTAGATTAACACAATTAGAAGCAAGCAGAGTTATTTGATATGACTAAATTTACATCTCCTGTGACATTTGCATTGAAGAAGGCAGACGTTTCTGCAGAAGCATGTCTGTTAAATTGAAAATCATTTTTTTTATAAATGCATCTAACAAAGAGTCTTATTGTAACTTTGAATCCTGCTGTCCAGATATTGTACCTGTAGATGTGGACTTGGCTTTTTTTCATCATTGTGTTCTGAAAATTACAAATACAGTGGAACCTTGTTGATTTGGTCACCATTGGTCCGTAACAATTTGGCCACAGTAATGGGGTGGCCATATTTAAGGATTTCATTAAATAAGAAAATGACTGACTGAGCTTTTGTTTGGGCCAGAATTAAGTAGCCACGTAGAGGAGGTGGCTGTATTATTGGGGGTGGCCATAAGGCGGGGTTCCACTGTATGGAATTGAAGCATTTTGCAACCTAGAGTGATTTTGTTTTGTTTAATTGATTTCTTTCCCTATAATTTGTTTAGGGTTTCAAACCATCAACACAGCTCAAGCTGTGTTTCTTCCTGTTGGTGCCTCATTCTCACTCCTAGTGATGTTCTTCTTCTTTGATACACTTCAGTTTTTCTTTGCACTTTGTACTGCTGGTGAGTGAAATCATTCTAATTAATTATTTTTTTTTTGTATCTAAACTGACAGAATACCAAAGGATGAAGGCCTTGTTAGTATTCTATCCCAGAAGAGTACACTGTTCATGTAGTAGTGTGTGGATCTGGGTTACACGCTTTCATGATCACTGATGACCTGTCAGACTTTTCAAGATCACAAAGTGAAGAAAAAGAAAAATCCTGACCATCAGCAACTGTGCTGCAGCAAATGTTAAAAAGCAAACTGAAATAAAATAATGTTTTAGTTAATAATATTTAACACTGCAATCACTTTTCAAGAAAGCTTAGAAATTCTCATGCTAGAGTCGGCTAGCTACCCCAGAAAGTTTCTTCTTTAGAATCATATAACCAATCCCATGTTTTATGTACCATGCTAGGGAAAGGTGGAGCCTACCTAAAATACTTAAACATTGCACCAGAGATGCTGAAAATCCTCAGATAATATTATATTTTCCCCTGGTTTCTTTACCACAAAGGCATTTATTTAAACAGCTTTATTTGTATTTTAAATCTGGCATTATTATTTTACACAAGACTAAAAAACATAATTTGATTGTGTTTCAGTTTTAGCTATGGTGGCTTTCTCTTTTGTTCTCCTACCCATTTGCCAGTTTCTTACAAGACCTTGCTTTAGTAGTAATAATCAAAAGTGAGTATGGACATTGTATTTTCTGTGGTGCCATCATATTAACAGTGTGGAATTTTTGCAGCTGAATCTTTGATCTGTTTCTCCCAAGAGTGAATTGATTATGCATGCATGTGTGCAAAAAGAAAGACTGTTTGCAGTTAAGGCTGGTGTTTGGTAATTATTATTTTCAACTTCACCACAGAATCAACTTAGGCTTCTGTGGCCGATTCACACCAGCAGAGGCCATGTCACTTGTATGTTCAGCAGCATTAGTTATGGTTTGGATTGTCACTGGACACTGGGTGCTGATGGATGGTATGTTTATGCAATATAGCTAACTGAAACCTACAGCACAAATTGTCCTGCTAACTCCTGCCTCCCCCCCTCCCCCCCAAAAATGACTAATCTAGTCAGAAGGTCTAAGAGCACAATATGGAGGCGGCATGGCAGAGTGGTTAGGGCCCCTGCCTTGACATCCAGAGGTCGTGGGTTCAGGTTCTGCTCTCACCACTAAGCTGGAGTTGTTTAGGCCTGGTAGACCCTATAGTAGTTCAACTCCTTGGTCAGGCTTGTAAATTAGCCAACTGGTCTGCCTTCCACTGGTTGGGATTTTCAAGCCTAGAATAATTTGAAATATTTTTTTCTTTCAGTTTAAGTGGCATGCATATGAACTAGCTAGTTGGAGCTAAGCGCATCAACCACTATAAACATTCAACAACAACAACAATGCCACTTGACAATGGCTACACTGTAGTCTTGCTCATGATCAACTTTAAAATGACAGTAATTAAACATCTCAAACCCCACCGTGCCACACTTAGCCTTTTATCTTGCCATTGCAGCTCGCATACTCTCCCCCCTCTTAATAAGGACTTTGTATCAGCCTACTGCAATAAGGATGGCTTGTGAACCACCTGTAGACTGTTAAATATATGTATTTATTGTACACACAAATCAGTACGAGATATAATAATTTTCTGTATTTATCTTTCAGCCCTAGCTATGGGACTGTGTATTTCCATGATTGCCTATATCCGTTTACCAAGCCTTAAAGTCTCAACTTTGCTGTTAATTGGCCTTTTAGTGTATGATGTGTTTTGGGTAAGTAAACGTGTTTTTATAGCAAAAATAATCTGGTTTTAAAAATACATTATCATGTTTAAACAGTGCATAGCCACATGTGTACCTGACAATTACTTCAATCACCAATGATGTCATAATGAAATTTTGTTAGTCTCTTGTTTTTGAGGCCTCGGACCTGTGAGAAATAATATACATATATGTTTGATGGAGAAGTCATGAGAAGAGAAAACTGACTTCCTTCCTCCTCCAGTTGCCTGTCATTGTTGTGTTTTTCCCGCAAGCTGCAAGTCTGAGATAGGCTAGACTATTGTAAATGTTATAATTGCAGTCAATCTGGTGAATATTTACAGCAAAGTTGATTGAAGATGTAATTGCAGTTCCTAGCGCGAGTATAAATGATTTGCTTCTTGAGTTGCCATGATGTACTAAAGGGTGTGTTACTAATGACATTGTAGGTATTCTTTTCAAGTTACATATTTAAAGCTAATGTTATGGTTCAAGTGGCCACACAGCAAGCATCTAACCCTGTAAGTATATTGGTCTGGACAGGTATTTGACATATATGTTAAAACAAACTGAGGGATTATAAAAGCATTGCCCAAACTAGGTCATTTGTTGCACTTGAGGTTAGTTTATTTTGAGAAGTGAAGTGTTTTTTGTAGCAACTCTTTGTTATTGTGTGAACTATTTTGCTCAACCACATGTGGAATTCACTCCCTGATTTCTGTAAATTATATTATGTTTTTCAGGTCTCGATTATGGCAAATAAATTGAAAATGAATTCCATGGGAAATATCTCTCCTCAAATATCTCTTCCAGGAAAATTGGTTTTTCCAAGGTGAGTACATTGTGATTATGTTACATTTGGCAATGAATAACATGTCTACATGTAGCTCCGTTACAAGTGGTAGATATTAAGTATAAATTATTATGTGGAGTTAGAGGTTGATTCCAAACCAGAGACCATCACTCATGGTCTTTATATGAATCATTGGCATCTTAGAATTTAAGTAAGTTGTGGGTAGAAGATGTAGCCTTTGTTCTTCTGTAGAACATCTCCACCTCTGGATAGACCTCTATGTCACTCAGTGACTAAGAGTCAAAGGGAAGATAGTAAGAGCAATCTCTCTTTTACAGACACACTAAGATTTTTCAAATGTATAGAACAAAGCAGCTGATAATTCTTCTGATCCTTGATGAATTAAGTGTTCCTGATAGATCTATAGAAGATTGATTGTTGATTTTGGTACAAAAAGATAAGAATGGATCCATAGAGTTCACAAAGTTGTAGTATGAGTACCTTTTACTCTCAAAGATTACTGTCTGACAGTGACTGATCACATCTCCCTAACCGTCAAGTTAGCTCTTGAGTCACTATTGATAATAATGTCTGATTTTAAATGACAATTTGTTTTCAGCATGCAAGACAGAGGCAGATTTTCTATGTTAGGGCTTGGAGATATAGTGAGTATATGCCATCATCATTGTCTGTTTGTCATCACTGCACAAGTCTACAACTCTATTCTTATTAAAATCGTACAAACAGATATCTTACTCTTGCTCCATTGGATACTGCTTCCAAGATCAACTAAAAGTAGAATCTTCTTGAAATCTTGAATTCTCTGCATTTGTAGTAGCACTGGCCCTCTACTCACTGTGTGACAGAGAGAGGGCCATTACTGGACTATAGCATGAAGAGAATTCATAATATTATATTTTTCAAGTTGAAGGATTTTTTTCACATTTTGAAATCTGAATTGTTCTCAGTTGGGGTACCTTCTCAACCCTAGGTCTCTCTCTCCCTGCTCTTGGGGGCAGGGAGATGGAGACCCTGGGAACGAGGTCGTACCCCTTCATGTTCTCACTGTTATGAATTATCCTGTTTCTTTTCTTGTAGGTCATGCCAGGACTTCTCCTATGTTTTGTTCTGAGATACGATAGGTACAAGAAACAAGCAGCAGTAGCAGCTGATACTGAACAATCCAAGATAACTTATTTTCATTGCTCTCTTATTGGATATATTGTAGGTGAGTTGCATCTCATATTTGATTCAGATGTCAAATCATTATGTAAGTCCCTCATAACCAAAAATGTTTTTGTTCAAGTATGATGGAATTGGTCCAAACCTTTGATTGCATTAGGTTTTTTCACTGGTGACCCAGTGGTTTCTCTAACCATCCTTACTTAATGGCAACCGAAAATCGTACTGCTCAATTACGAGTCTAAGAGCTCTAATGTTGAACACCAGAACTTTAATGGGAGCCATATGGAGAGAAATAGGCCATTTCCGATTTACCTTGTGCCTCTGTTTCAAAACGAGTCTTCATGCCAAACCTTTCGTATGAAAATGAGTTTGATTTGCATGAAAATGAACCTGTAGGCGGAAGTCATATGAATGGTTTCGCACGAAGACTCGTTTTAACACAGAGGCAAAAGGCAACTTGGAAATGACCCATTCCACAGGTCCCTTGCACAAGTAGATTCTACAGGTCGCCTCTGGCACTACATTAGCTGCAAGTTCTTGTGTTTGATTGTTTGTTTCCTTCCTGTCAATCAGGATTAGTGACAGCCACTGTTGCATCCGAGGTGTACAAAGCCGCCCAACCAGCGCTACTGTACCTTGTACCGTTTACGCTTCTACCCATCCTAGTCATGGCTTATTTGAAGGTATAGTCCTTGTCTTGTGTTATTACGTCTTACCATTTACTTCGTCACGCGCTGTTAATGTCACGTAACGTGACAAGGTTGCGTGATATTTAGATTTAATTTAAGAAGTGCACGGTTATTTTATACAAGATTAAAAAACATTTGCCTGTTGTATTTTGGCGCAAAATGTATTGGTTAAAGTTAATTTCCCAGCCTCCTGGGTGATTAGTCAAGAAAGAGTGTCTTCACACTTCACATACAATATCGTACAATGGAAACCTGGGACTAGAAAGTGTTCTCTCAAGATGTCAATTTAGGGTGCGTTCCTTTGGGACGATCTGGATCAGGATCAGTGATCCAAGATCACTCGGATCATAGTGCATCAAAGGAACCAACGAATCCGTGACCAGAGTGGATTCGTTGGTTCCTTTGATGCACCATGATCTGAGTGATCTTGGATCACTGATCCGGATCCGGATCCGGATCGCCCCAAAGGAACGCACCCTTAGTTTCCTGTGGGCGCTAAATGAGAAGACGAAAAGTGAAGATAGCGCTTCTCCCTGCAGAGAAACTAGAAAGTCTAAAATGCTCTTTTGTTTCTGTAGGGTGATTTACGAAAAATGTGGCAAGATCCCTTTGTAGCGGCTGGTGCTAAATTGAAGTTTTTGGATGTATGACACAGCAAAAAGGACAACGTTAAATCTCCAACAAACAAGATTCAAAAAGTGGGAAATATTGATTTTGAAGTCCTGTCGTCTTTTTGTGGACCATTTGTTACGGTCAATGGTTCCTGACTCGCCTCGGACATAACATGAAGTCGCTCAATGAGGGTCCTCTATGGGTTAAGCATTGGACGGTGGTTGCAATGTATGACATTGGGTGAATGAAACGAAAACAAGGAATGGGAACACGGGTTTTGAAGGATGGAATTATATAGAAGAACGGGAACATAGTTTCAGTTAAATAACCATGAACAACTGTTTGGGTCTAATGCTTAGTCACACAAGACTCTGCGTTTTTAGCTACCGTTCTAGAGGTTCGGTTATATAACGTTGAGGAGCTAAGCGAAATAAAATAACGGGCGAAGGTTAGACGGAAAGACGCCGGTTCTTTCGCCTCTTCGCCATCGTTTCGCCTACCGTTTCTTGCGCTTTTTCCCAGTTCCTTATTCCAGTCGGCCAAACCCCTCTCGCTTTAACCGGACGTCTCGAGTGGACAGCCTAGAAGTGAGCTAGGTTTAGCTTGTTTTCGGGAGTTCACTGAGGTGGTTAAACAATAATTGATAAACCACCTCAGTGAACGCCCGAAACGCATAATTATTATGCGTTCGTTTTAGTAGTGATAACTGCAATGTAACCTCTTTTCAAACATTCGTTTTTCAGACTAGATCGAATTGACATGTTTTCATCAGCGTTATTCTTTTCTAGGCCCCGTGCAAAGTACACTAGAGAAATTTTGAAAACGGCGTTTTCGTTTTGAAAACGCATCAAATTTGTCCATCCACTCTACACCAAAGGACTAGTGTTTGAGGAAGCCTCGGGCAGGGATATCACAAGATTAACACTACGACATCGTTTTTGAAAAGCTCCGTTTTCAAAATGTTTCCATCCACACTAAAACCCAAAGCCGGCGTTTTCAAATTCCTCCAGTTTGGACAGCGTTATCAAGAAGCTTCGTTTTCGTGACGGATTAGTGTGGACAGTATGCCTAACCGTAGAAATAAGGCTGGCGTTTCCAAATTTCTCCACCGTAGTGTGGACGGGGCCTAAGGCTTTTTCTTTACACATTCGCAGATATATTTATAATGACCTCAACTTTTCTAAACTCTTTTATGGCTATGTATGAAATATCTTGTATATTTTAAAATTGACTGCAACCTTGCCAAACTAACTAATAATGACCTCAACTATTAAACAATGGACTCTTTTCAAATGAACATAATATGAATTACAAAGTAGTTTGCTTTAAAAGTTTTGTTTAATTACTATTCTGTTCCTCAATGATGCTTGATTAATTCTTTTCTGTTTGTTCATGTTTTAAGAGCCTTTTTGGCAGTTAAAGGCAACGCCTTTGATTATTGCGTGACGTATAAGAAGCATTGCGTGACAAATGCAAATAACGGCTGCAGAAGCTATAGACGTTTTCAACTTGTAAATAACTAGATGGTATTTATTTAATAGGCGAGAAGAATTTTTATGCAAGAAAGTTTTTGATTTAAGGGCATCTGGATGGGGGCCGTTTTCTTGAAGATCCCGAAAACCTTTCGCACCCAGAAACTGAGCCATAGCAAAAACTCAAACCATATGATTTCAGAGCTTTTTTATTCACATATTCTTAATATGAACAGAGGTTCTCTTCAGACAAGAAATTCCAGGCGTGCACACCTCTCTGTTTTTAGACACAGATTAACTAAAAATGGCTTTGCAGGCCCGAAAGGTTTCCGGGACTTTCGAGAAACGTGCCCCTGGGCGGGTTTTGAAACAGTTTAGGAGACAGTTTTAGCATCTTATAAGAATCACATCTATAAATCAAATACAGAGTGCATAAAGATCAAGAATAGTTGTTTTTGTTGTTAGGGTGTGACTTCTGTTTGCAAGCCGATTTCTGAGCGTGCTGATGCATAACGTCCTTCTCTTGCTGTGCTGCAGGCCTCACTGTGTAGAAGCCTCGTCCGATAATTTGCAGGTGTTAAAACCGCCACTGAAAGACAACTTCAAACGTTTACAAAAATAGTTTATCTTTTTTACGATGAAGACAGGAAAAGAAAGAAAATGCTACGATTTGGTGCCAAAAAGAGGGGATTAAAAGCCCCTCCCCCAGGGAGGAGGGGCTCCCTCGTGAAATGGTCGGAGATACTCCTTGTTTCGCGCAGGGGTGTGTATCACGGAATTTTGGTCTCAGGGTGTTGAGTACGAAACGCCAGTGACGTCCAGCTATATTTCAGGATTGCACTCGAAGATATGGCTGGTTTGCAGTGTCATGCCAATAAAAATCGTAAGCATTCACTAAATTAAGTCAAGAAGCTGGGATATGAAAGATGATTGATATATAAACAACTTTGCCAAGATTTAGGTCTGTGCGGTTTTTCATTCGCGTGTTCGGAAAAGTATTTCACTCAAATTTATAGAGCTTTGTATGGAGTCACCACGTTTTGTGCCCCTTGGAGGGACACAAACATGGCGGCCGTAAAGTAACAGAAACATCTCTCATTGAGTTTTGCCATTGAAACGAAAAGTTATTACTACTCTAGAACTCCGACACATTGGCATTAATACTTCTTCTAGAGCTAGACCTGTTTAGTTGGCGAGAACTTGAGCAATAACTCATCTTTTGCAGGGATCTAGGGGAGGGTGCAGGGGTGCGCCACCCCCCTGCGATGAAGCCTTCTTCTTCGTATGTCGCTTTTAAAATCTGTTTACCTCACCAGCAAGTTACAGCATTCCCGGGTGGTGCACCCCTCCTAGAAAAATTCTGGATCCGCCCCTGTTTTGACTTACTCCAGAGCCTTATCGAGCCGCCATTTTGATGTCACGCAACGCACAAACTTGGAAATTCAGGCGTAATGA